GCCCTAAGACAGAGCCCTGGGGAACTCCTGATGTAACAGAGGAAGGCTGGGAAGAGAAGGTTTTGATCCGAATGAACTGAGTGCGGCAGGAGAGATATGATTTAAACCAGTTTAGAGGAGTCTGAGTGATACCAATAGAGGAAAGTCTGTTGAGTAGGGTGACATGGCAGATAGTGTCAAACGCTGCACTCAAATCAAGTAGGATGAGAATGGACAGCAAGCCAGAGTCAGCTGCCATAAGGAGGTCGTTAGTGATTTTTATGAGAGCTGTTTCTGTACTGTGGAGGGGACGAAAACCAGACTGAAACAGTTCATACAGGTTATTGTTGGATAGATAAGTGTGAAGTTGGGATGCTACTATCTTCTCACAAGACCATAAACTAAGTTAATTTTACCGGCGAGCAGCGGCAGCAAGTCGCGCCAGCGTTCACTCTAAAAACCGGAAGTGTTTTTTTTTGTCTTTTAGCGCTATTATATAGTAATGCACCTTTTATTGAAATGATGATTAATTAAGTTATATTACTTCTTTGTATTTCAAAMCTTCAAAGTCTTATTAGTTTGTGTCTGTTGACAAGCTGCCTATTGAAACACAAAGTGTTCRTTTTAAATTAAGGCCAGCTTGACTTGAAACATTGAGTTTCCCAGGCAACGGCTCTGGTCACAGACTCTCCTTCTGTGGGTTGCAGCAGTTCTTTTATCTGGATAATTTTAATAGTGTCATAATCAGAGAGGCACTTCTTTTTTCATCAACCAGGCAACGTTTTAAAGCTTCAGGGAGTGCACTATGTGGTCAGGAAACTTGATGCCTCCCCCCAATCCTTACAAGAGGCAAGAGGCTGATGAGGTCCCACCATGAGTTTGATTTACTGCTCTGCTAGCTTTGCTGTGCTGAAACAAGCAGTCCAGGACCAGGCCACAGCAGCATGTGGGGAAATCAGGTCTTTTTGATTTATTTGGTTGTTAAATAATTCAAACTGTTACCAAGTTTATAGATTTTCACACATCTGTTATTTTCGGACTTACTGTAAAACAATGTAGTCAAATATAAAACACATCACCAAATTATTTACAAGTTTAATGGCAATATATGATGCATAAATACAATATTTTATCTTTGGTTGCACCTAGTCTCYGCCTCATCTCTGAACCAACACCTTATAATATTTTAGATGACACTCAGCCTTCACATCTTCACCTAGAAGCACTCGGAGAGTGCAAACCTCTGCCAAGACCATTTTCCCCCATCCTGCAAGAGTTAATGTGCAAAAGCAGAGATGGAAACACATTTGCTGAATAAGTTCTGACGTAGCGAACATTTAAGCAGCAGTATGAATGGGATTTCTTCTTGGTGGAGTCCAATGTGAAAAAAAAAAGTCAGACTCGTCACCCGACGTTATTCATCGTCAAACTAGTGTCGGATTAAGCTCCTAAGTTTTCATCAGTCACATTTCACCATGYAAAACGTCTGTTTTATCTCCTTGTATGAGTTTGTAAAGGTTTGACTCTCTTTATAAAGTGCTTCCTGGCTCCCCCCGTCTCCAAACTTTGAGGCCTGGCAGCTCTCTGTTTACAAGCCTAGCAGCGAGAAACTGTTTTGATTGGTTGTTTCGGAAATGTGGTGTGTTTGAGGAAATGGGGAAAATAGGTTTCATGGTGCAGTCACGCACTTCCTGGTCACAAAACGTTCTGTAAATGTGCACATTATGGCAAAAAGTATTCATCATTAAATGTGGTTTTAACATTACTTTTATAAAGTTTGAAGTCYGTGCTGTCCAATCCAGCTCACTGTGTTTTACAGAAACCATGTGAAAGCATCACAACTTTGCTGATCGCTGAGTGTTAAAACATAATAAATTCCTGTATCCGCATTGTGATCCAGAACATCACCAAAATTTAAAGGTGTGTTCCTTGGCCCAGTACCCACATGTGGTAAAAATGTCATAACAATCAGTCCACAAGTTTTTGAGTAATATTGTCCACAGACAGAATGACAGACAGACCGACAGACATACGTGACCGAAAACATTACCTCGCCCTTCGCGGAGGTAACAGTGAGGAAGAAGAAGCTGTTAAACACCGTACTACAGAATCAAAATGATTTAATCCTTGCTTTTGACACATCTCTGTTCTTAATTAAACCAGCAGTCTTTATGTTCTTATGAACTTAGGTTTTCCTCTCCACTGCTGCCAGTGTGCTGCTCAGGATGGGAGACTGTGACAAAGTGAAGATTCAATGCAGTCTGCTGGCTTCTTTAGATTTTTTTTTGTTTGTTTTGTTTTATTTTTTTGTGTACAGTGTCTGAGACAACAGTTGTTGTGCCTTGGCACTATATAAATAAACTGAATTGAGATGAATTGAACTCAACAACACAGAAGAAAATGATTACTTCCTGAACATCTACCAGGTGACAGAACAGACAAAGTTTGGGAGGCGACTTCTGGTTGACATTTTCAGATCAGAATCCTAATCTGGTTAGTCCTGTGTTGTAGGATTATTATAGTCAGTGGTGCAGAATGGAACATGATGTTCAGTCCTAAATGAATGTGAAAATGTATTGAATTCAGTATCCACTTTTTTTTTCTTTCCAATGAGATCCACAAAACTAA